CTCATTTATAAGATTCTTAGAGAAGAAGGCATATAGTAGGAATTAGTAAGGATTTTGAAGAGTTTGATGCTATATTTATTGACTGACGTCCTGCCACAGAAAATACTCCTTTCCGAAAGCGAAGATAACATCATCAATCATTCCACTAACGAATAGCAAACACTCAACCATTGACTATACCTCGAAAGTGTATTGAGATGAATCACATGCGAGCTGAGACTGAAACGCGATTAACACTTGTCGATCCGTTTGACCTGCTTCACCTGTGTTAACCCGAAATTTAGCCCCTGGCCGGTGGCAGAACTCGGCGTGTGAACCGCGATGTTTCGATGGTGATGGGCAAAATGCAAGAAAGTGATAATAATCTTAAATAGTGACTGGAAATAAATTCAATATTAATCTTCCTCTCACCAATTTATAAACAGCTATTAGAGATATATTGCGGACTGACCGAAATGAGGATTGTCTTAGGACAGTAAGCAATTCTCTTGTTAATAAATGTACAGGTACATTCTTATACCTACTTGACCTTGCTGTCTTCCTCCTTTCTGGGGAACAGCTTCAGATGCTAAGATGCCTTTTTGTGGTTCTGAATATAAATTGTTTTTCCGCAGGCTCTCTCCAGTTTTGTAAGATTGTCTCCCATTTCTCAGTAAATCGGACTGTGTTTTGCAGCAAGAAACCCTTTTATCAGCATAGGTAAATATTCCTGCTCTATTTATCCACATTCACCAATTAATAAACCCGAAAAAACTATCCTTAAAATTTACAACGAAATTCCGGTCATCTTTGAACTTATCGGTTAAATAGCTATGTCAGGCTTCCGACCACACCCAATTTGCCTGGATCGTGAATCGTCGTGATATAACTCCCAAATAAGTCCGCCTTATCATCACTCAAATTAAGACATGCGTTATCCATATTAGATGCATCATTGTATCTGCGCATGAGCAGATGTCAAAATAGGGTCTGCTTTAATAGAACAGGTGTTTTTAATGTCACCATATTATCTATGAGTCTAAATGCCTACATGCACTTTGCTTACCTGTCGACGACTTGATAATTTTATCTCCCTCATGTCTGTATCTGTGGCTTTCGTTATAAACGTAAAACATAAACAAGTTTTGACAATACAGACGAGTTGCAAGCAGACATGTTAGTTAATATTAATAAACCAAAAAAAGCATGGCTTGGTGAGAACATGGGGTAACTAGATCAAAATGAAGGATACGGTGGGCTATGTTGAAATTTTTCACGTGCACGTGTACACATGCTCAGTAGCTCCGCGCACAGTGCATTTCTGAGAACCATGCCCTCCTTGTCGACAATATTGGCTTTAAACGATTCAGTATCTTGCCTTACGCTCCTGTTTCCAGTTTTGAGATAATCCACATTGCTTCTCGCAAATTGATCAGTAATGATGAATATTTCAGAAGCTCTCTGTTAGCGAGCTTCACTACTAGTTGACAAACACAAACATATAAACCTTTTTCTTCTTTAGAACAAAGCTAAGAAGCTTTATGTGTTCAAGGTCTTAAACCTATTTCTGTGCTTTTGTGAGAAATCTAATATCTACTTGAGTTGCAATGAAAAACATAATACTTTCAAGCACTATTTTAACATTTCTTATGACAAACTTTCCATAGGACTGTTCGAGAAACTGACCATATGGAACTTAAGCAACATTGAAGCATCTCCTCGAAGTTTGAAAATCCGCCGACCTGTTTTCGGAATCCTCAAAATGTAACATCCCTGTTGTTTCCCACGTACCGATGTTTTTCCATATTATTCCATTTCGTAAAGGTAAACCACTATACAAGTGAAATTTGAACAGCCCTGAAACCCTACTGCAAAATAGCAAGGGTTTATAAAATACGTGAAAAAAAAAAGGCTGACAAATCTGTGGTATTCGAGGGGTCGGTTTTGGACCCACTTGGCGAGATATGATGAACAATTCTGCTAACTGGCGCTCGACAAACATCTGTTCTACTATTGAATAAACTCTGTATTATTAAACTTTGTATAGCTATTCCCATCACTAGTTTCCGATTAAACCTTATCGGCAGTTGAGGTGTACTCATCTTTTAAGTGCGGCCTACTGCTCACGGAAAGAATATTAGCCGCCCGGGAAAAAATTCGCATTGTATCTGATAACCTCTGGATATACCCGAACCAGTTGTGTAGAAAGTGATCGAACTGTCTCATCACAGGCGTGACTTTGTATGCGAATTTCCATTCTGACAGCAACAATGTCTTCAAACATTTTCGCCCTTACCATAAATAAGACAAAAGAAAGTTTGGTACACTTATTTCTCTGTGGAATACTGAGAGAAATTGGACTACTGAATTTGCGTGTTACATATGCCAGGTTTTTCAATAGCAGGTTAACTGTAACCTCTAACCTTTTTGCTTGGCATATCGAGGGTAAAAATGTACAAATACACATTTTAGTTCAGCGTCAACCAAAACTTGAAGAACAAATTTACGGATAACTAACAGTGAACTTCCATGTTATATTTAGCAAAGAAATATAATCAGCGACAGAGAAACCAGGATTTGGAATATTGTTTAAAGAATGAAGGGAGATGCTGCATATAAGCATCATGTGTTGCTGTTATGCTTGGCCTATAGTAACAAAATGCTAATAAAATCAAGCTAGATCATGATTTACAGAGAATTCATATCCAAGAAGACGAATTGATGAAAATCAGCCTTAATAACTACAACATACATAAAAAATAATTGCTTCCACAGAGCTATATTTTCGTGAATACCGAGTGCTCTGCAAGCATCATACTGGACCTTTGAAAGCCAAGGTCAAAATTCAGGAACAATAAAATACAAAACGACAAAGCATTTCGAAAGTCTATCGGTCTGCTTGGCTCCTCAAAAACTCGGAAAATATTTCTTGGATTGTGATACATCATAAGATAGCGAAAACAATAAATATAATGTCCCAAACAAGCTCGTTTTTAGGTCTTTTTCGAGCTGATGATTTTGGATATAGTCAAGAAAAATTTATCCAAAATATCTTGAACTTCGTATTATCCGTTTCTCAAATTTTTGAAATCCTTAGGGCATAGTGTGCCTTTTATGCGGATTCAGTGGAGGTTGCATATAAATAATTTAGAACATATCTAGCTATCATCAACAGTTTTCTTTTTATTTTTATCACTCGATTTTTTTGAAAGTTCGCAATTTTGTATTTTTGGTCCAAAATACACCCATTTTCAAATATCTAGATTTAACATTTTTTTACGCATGGTGACACAATTCGTATTTGAAAATAATAGTGATGAATCATGCGCTTATATACAGGGTGACTTTGAAGTTGAGTCATTAATTTTCAGATAATGATTGTAGAAGGAAGATAAACCAAAAAAAATTTTTTTTACCTTGTTTTATAAAGTATCCTCCCGACAAGTATTTCATTGCGGACCTGTATTTGATCGTGAGGTCCCTGTGAGGTCTTAAGTCGCCTGATTCACGAGCCCGTTGTACTACATTAACAAAGGCACGAGGGGTTGGTTGCACTCGATTGGGAAACCGATCCGCATAAACATGTGCCATTTTTTATTTCGTTTGAGCCACGCAACAGATACCACTATTCACTAACACTGACTGTATACAAATGAATGAAATACTTGTAAAAACATCGTTCCAAATTCTTTGGCTTTTTTGTTTCCGATGCGATGAACCGATACGGCGGATTATATCCGTTGTCGCCAAACACGACCACATAATATTATTATTGAGACAGGGCGGTACTCAAACTTCCAAAGGGCTATAACTTTGTTACTTTAATTTTACCAGGAAAATGGTAAAGGAAAAAAACATTTCTTCTGATCAGATCTACTCACTGTTAAAATAAATGACTCAACTTCGAAGTCACCCTCTATAATAATACTTAAGTATCCGGAAGTGGATGAATTTTGGACAAAAATGCAAAAATTATGAAATGAACTTTGGGCTTTTAAAAAGAACCAAGTTCTAAAATAAAAAAAATATAATGAACGTTCAAAAAGTTTTAAGATGCGATCAAATCCAAAGCTCACCTCACCGAAAACTCCGCTTTCAGATCCTGATCCTTTAGAATGCGCCACTTAGCATTGGCCTTATGTATCTTAAATTTTGAGCAGATAGGGGCCAATCTACTTGGCTAAATTTTTCAATAACACCTTTGAACCTACACAGTGTATTGATACTGAAGCAAGTTCCCATCACATAGGCTTATCTTGGCACACAAAATGGGGCACGATAGAAAACAGAGAGGCCGGCATAAGGCCTAATTCACACGATGACATCAAATCGCTACACTAAAAGCCACTAAATGCATCTGCGCGCATCAAGTAGCTCATGAATTATGCATATTGTTATTGTTTATTGAAAATGAAAACGCTGTGATGTTGGCAGATACACACGAGTTGGCTTTGAATTACTTTCATTTGTTCGCTAATGCACGTACAATCTTTTATCTCTTTCAGTCATCTGCTTTATTCTAGATGATTTATTACCTGCCGCGCAGTACTGAAATCGTGGAAGCTGTTGGATGAATGTACGTACCGCTCTTGAGCGTCTCCTCATAAACGACGTACGCTTATTTCAGTACGAACGCGTTGAGATGTCTAGCAGTTATAGTCATAACGGGATTAAAAAAAATTCGCAAAAAGACAAAAATTTCAATTTTTGTACTGTTCGACCATAGGTACTCTCAGTTTAAAAAATGAGTCTAATCTGAGATATGACCTGTCATATATGATGACGATGGACAATTCTTGTTGAAAATTGGATCCTAAGGCCTGTTCGACAAATGTATAGATTGGTCCTCACCTTCACAAAAAGAATAATAATTTTATAGATTTTTTTTTGTTTCGAACGGAATACAAATTGTCGGCCCAGACTGAAATGTACGAGGGATGTCTTTCAAGTTTTTCATATGGAAATAAAACAACACGGTAGGTAGTTTTAAATGACTTTATTGTTTTTCGAAGTACTCTCCACAAAGATTAATACACATCTGCATGCGCTCGAACCAATTTTCGAGGCACTTATTCCACTCGTTTGCTGGCAGATCCTAAACGGCATTTTTGAATGCGTCAACTGCTTCTTCTGGTGACTGGAACCTTTGATCACGCAGTCTGTTTTTAATATTCGGGAAAGTAAAGAAATCGTTAGGACTTAGATCGGGACTATATGGAGGATGGTCCAATAATTCCACGTTTTCTTCCGTTAAATACTGCCTTGTTTTTTGGGCTGTGTGCGAGCTTGCATTGTCTTAGTGGAGGATCATTTTTCGAAGCTCGGTGATGACTTTTGGCAAACAAATGGTGGTATACCAATCCCCAGTAACAGTTCTTTGCTCATTAAGAGTAATTGTTGCAATATGACCCGCTTTTGACACAAATGTCGCGACCACCTTTTTCGAAACACTTCGAGAACGGATGACTTTTGTTGGCTTTTCTTCACCTTGGAACACCCAAATAGCCGACTTTCGTTTATTTTCTGGTTTATAACCGTAAATCCAGGATTCATCACCACTAACAATGCTGTACACATTTTTTGAGTTTACGGTCAAGCGTTTTTTGACACCAATTAACCCTGGCTGCTTTCTGCTCTTCAGTCACCAGGTGGGGTATCCAACGAGAAACTAATTTTCTTACTCCTAATTCTTCATGTAAATTTTTTTGAATTGAGGTCTTTGAGATCTTCAAGGACGCCTGAATCTCGCGATATGTCACATGTCTATCTTTAATGATGAGTTTGCGCACAGCATCGACGTTTTCCTTTGTGACTGCCGTTTTTGGTGCACCCACCCTGGGATCGTCGCTAAGACTTACCCGTCCACGTTTGAATTCTTCATACCAACGGGGAATTGTCGACTGATGTGGCGCTTCGTTGCCGAAAACAGACAGTAACTCAGCAAGGCATTCTTGTTGCGATAATCGTCTCTGGAAGTTGTAATAAATTATGGCGCGGTTGAGTTCCATTTTTCTGACTTGGTGACACTTAAAAATTTACTGTAGTGAGAACACTGCACGTATTGTTGTGAAAGTTTGAATTTAAGTATACTAAAGAGTGAGGTTAAGATTCAGTACTGACGTTCGATCCGCGCGGCCTACTATCTTTCTATATGCAGAATAAATTATCAGATCGCAATTTGGAGGTCATTTTTGAGTTCTTTGGACAAAGCTTGCTTGGGATAGTCCTATACCAGAAGCAGTAGTGCTTTATAGGAACAGCAGGCACTCTCCAGAAAAAGAGGCGTCAAGTAGGTTGACCCTACACATCCTCCTCTAAGCTGTCATTGATTCACAAATGATTATATTTCGCACAAGTTAGCCCCTCTTTGAAAAAAGTTGGCTACGAGCATGTATAACAAACGAATTAAATGGATCATATCAGTCAAACAGTCTCATATAATTATACCATGGTCCCCACAGATTTGACAACATTGCGATCTAGCCTACTGCCCTAATGACAGTACCGATCGTCAAGCAGCGTGGCAACACAGAACGCATCATCATTCAGTTGTCACTCAGCTTTCGAAGCAGACCGACGTACGCTCGTTGAGATGTCCAACACTCGTATTTTGAAAATAAATGAAAAGTTTTAAAGGAAAAATGTAGGAGGAAATCTATGATATGAGAAATGTACGTAGAATGACCGTGGAAACGAATAAATTGTTAGACTCATAAAATTGACATACGAATATAAAAGTCAAAATCCGCCGCCACTCGACCAATTTTCAAAAAGTATAAAGTTTGTTCGTCTTTGGTATAGTAAGGTACCCGGGGGTAATAAGGCCCACCAGATATTAAGGCCCAACGCTGGTTTGCCCAAAGGAAAGCGCCTAAAATATTTATATCGCCATCTGTTAATAATATTTAGTATTACTGTTGCCAGAAATTTTATTTTTGTTCTATGGTTATGAGCTTCCTGGCTTGTTCTATGGTGTCACGTTTCGCTGTGCTGTATTTTATAAGAATTTCGACCGGTAAGTAAGCAAATTAAATTATTTTAATAATACGTAGATTTTTCATTATGTATGCATGATAATCTATGTATCTGATAGTTTCATTTTACGTAGCTTTCCTTTTAATGGTGGGGTTGTTTGTTGTTTAATAACCTCAAAATTAATTTTATTGTGCTACAGGTTATAAGGCCCGGGCCTTATTTTCTACAATGCATTGAAAAAGGCTTGGGCTTTATTTTCTGTCGCCATGAATACACGTATTCATTAGATTTATTTATTCTTTTACAGAAGATGGGTAAAAAAAGCAGAGGGATAAGGGCAAACTGGGATGAAGAGATGATGAGAGAGGCATTAAATTATATTAACGAGGGAATATCTCAGCGCTGGGTGGAACAAAAATGCGGAATACCCAGACGAACACATAGGAACCACATTAAATCACAAAGCGTGAAGAGAAAACTAGGTAGACAAATAATTTTGACCGATAATGAAGAGACTGACCTTGAGAATAAAATAATTCGGCTAGCCGATAAAGGTTTTCCGCTAACACCAAAAGCATTAAGAAGGTCTGTGTTCAGGTATGTTGAGCAAAAGAAAATTAAGCATTGTTTCAATCAAGAAACTCGTCTCGCTGGTAGGGAGTGGGTAAGGACTTTTCTGAAAAATCATCCGAGAATATCAAAACGTCGATCTCAGTTCATGAATCCAGCAAAAGAGCCCAAAAATTAAATCGTTTTATCGTAGATCATTTCAAAAAACTAGTAGATTTGTTGGAGCGCACTCAGTTAAAAAATAAAGAAGCAAAAATTTATAATATGGACGAGAAGGGTTGCTGCTTGACTCTTCACCACCAACAAAACCTTCTGGCAGCCAAAGGAGCAAAACGAGTGCATGTAATTTCTCATGAACACGCCGAAAACGCAACTATCGTCGCTTGCGCTAATGCTCTCGGACATGCCATACCGCCTGTCATTCTTTTTAAGGTCAAGAAAATGAAGCCAACCTACTCAGATGGCATACCGGCTGGCTCAAAAGTTATGATGACGCCTAAAGGGAGCATGACGATAGAAACATTTGATAAGTGGTTAGACCATTTCATTGAATACATGTTGCCTCCGCCAGTAATTTTAATTTTTGATGGGGCCAAATGCCATTTGGATATTAGCATTGCTGAGAAAGCAGAAGCTCATGAGATCCACTTATATTGTCTGCCGAGTAACACCACCCATGAGCTTCAGCCGATGGACAAAGCTATATTTCGAGCATTTGAAGCTTATTGGGACGATGAATTGTTAAAGTACTGGGATAAACATCCTACACTTGATTTAAACAGTGAAAGATTTTCTGAAGTTTTCACACCTACATGGCAGAAAGCAATGTCCATTGGAAATATTACAAGCGGCTTTCGAGCTACGGGAATATGCCCTTATGATAAGGATGTTCTTCCCATTGAAGCATTTGCCCCAAGTCTTGCAACTGAGAAACCTTACCAGGAGACGACCGCCGCTGCTGATGATTCGGAATATGATTCAGATGACTACCTGCCTTTAGGTGAATTGCGTAAAAAATTAATCCCTTTGAATAATTCCTTCGCGGAAGTGTTACCAACACCAGATCTAGTCAAAAAAATCTGCTCCAAAACGTAAAGCTATAAATTACAAAGCAGTTGAAGTCAAGCGATCCGTATTTTTAAAGGAGGTGGAGTCTCAACTTGATCCCGTTCCAGTCTTATCGAATACCGCTAAATCGCCATCTGAATCTGTGTCTTCCATTGCATCAAAAACAAAAGAACATAACGAAGAATGGCACTGTGTGATTTGCTACGAAGACTATGTAGCAGATATGAGACGATGTGCTTCTTGTGGTTTTTGGGTCCATGAGGATTGTGCTGGTTTGACTGCGAACGATACTGAAAATTTTTTGTGTCCAGACTGTATGCCTTAAGTATTAGATTTATACTTAATACCATATTTTATCTTTGATACTGTTTTTTTAGTGTGTTACATTTATTTTTTATTCTATCAGTATTTTGTTGAACTGTTATTTTTTTTATCTCTCATTCAAATCTCATTATATGTCGTTGCGGATATTAAGGCCCAAAGGGATATCATTATTTTAATATTTTCTTTTTATTTTTTGATTTTTTTTTGTGTTTTGTTTATTCGTTTGACTTGTTTTTTGTTCATTTAAATATGGGCCTTATTATATGCACTTGCAGGCTTTAAGGCCCAGAAGACAATTTTATTAATGTTCGCGTCTCGACATATAAGCTTGATTATTTTGTGTTCAAACATTACCATTATGTTAGTTTATACCCTTTTCTATTTTTTATAATAATAACACTTTGAAAAAGTAAATTTCTCTCGTAGATATTAATTATAATTTCTTAGGTGGGCCTTATTACCCCTGGGCAAACCAAGAAACAGAGAAACCGACGGAAATGAGTGACATAGTTTTTCGTGATGTACATATCATATTATGACTCATCAAAAAATGCATAAAATCTCATTTTCTAAACTTTTTGTCATTACATTACATTACCTAATAAAATTAACTCCGATGTGGGATATCACCTCCCAGTCGTGGAATATTAGTTTCACCTTCCGAAAAGTATAGAAAGATATGGATAAATTAAAGATTGAAACAACAACTGAAAAAAGGTGTAAAAGTAGCCTAACGATTTGTAATGATATTCCGCGAAGTACAATCAAACCATCAGCGGCGCTGACCCAAATCATCTTACGAATAGCCGAACCAACGAAAAATGGCCGCTGCGGATCTGTCGATATCGTCTCCCAGGTGGTTATGTCATTCAGAACACAAAAAATATCGCCGGACAAGATCGATGTCCAGCAGTGGTGGGTCGATTCATTCAGTTTTCGGCCGTCTTGTATAAATAACCATGATTCATCTGTTCTTTCGAGCATATGATTGCTTGATTCATAAAACAAGAACGACGTACATGAAGATGGTTGTAATCTGAACCACCGCATGCTGAAATGGAATATATCGATTTTTGCTTTATTGGTACCTCTACAATCTCTTTTAGACATTTTAATTCCCACGCCAATTATTTCAGTCGGTTTGTCTGCCTGTCCACTACTCCTTGACCCCTCTATACAGGGTTTGTCCGGAAAGTAATAGGACTGAGTCGATTTAAAAAAAATTGAGCCAATCGTAACAATTCTTTAAAAACTTTCAATACAGGCTCCTTCTGCGTCGATGCAGCGCTTCCAGCGCGATTTCCAAGCATTGAAGGCATTCTCCGGAATAGCCTTGAGAGCCGCGGTGCATGCTGCTTGGATCCCCTCTGTCGTCTCAAAATGCTTGCCTTTCATCGGCCTTTTCAGGCGAGGAAACAAAAAAAAGTCCGGGGGGCATATCTGGGCTGTAGGGCGGCTGCTGAAGCGTTGGGATGCCGGCCTTGGTCAGATAGCTGTTCACAAGAAAGGCGGTGTGAGCCGGGGCGTTGTCGTGGTGCAACTTCCAGTCGGCTGCGATGTCATGTCGGACCCGACTGACCCTTCGTTTGAGTCTCCTGAGCACTTCCACGTAAAACTTGGCGTTGACGGTTTGTCCAGGAGGAATGAATTCATGGTGGACGATGCCTTTGATGTCAAAAAAGACAATGAGCATCTTTTTCACTTTGGGTTTGCTCATTCTTCCCTTTTTTGGGCGAGGAGACGCCGCCGTGTGCCAATCGGAAGATTGCCTCTTTGCCTCGGGATCATACTCAAAGATCCACGACTCGTCACCTGTGATTACGTTATTCAAAAATTGGGGGTCACTTTCACACATGTTCAAATTTTCTTGGCACACTTCCACTCGCCGCAATTTCTGGTCGTCAGTGAGCACTTTTGGGACCATCTTCGCGCACACCTTGCGCATGTTCAAATGCTGTGTCACAACGTCATGAACCACAGATTTTGATAAATTTAACAACTGGGCCATTAAACGAATACTTAGTCGACAGTCTGAGTTCAAAACTTTGCGCACACGAGTCACATTATCGATCGAAGGACTTCCACCACGGTCTTCATCAGCGACCTCTTCCCGGCCCTCCAAAAAGGCCTGGTGCCAACGAAACACACCACTTCTTGCTAAAGCAACACCTGGGTAAGCCTGCTTGATCATATCAAAAGTCTCTGTCGCAGATTTACCGAGTTTCACACAGAATATGGTCGCGTACCGCTGCTCTAACTAAAGCTGCATTTTCGGCTTGCACCACTCAAAGAAAAACTTCGCGCTAAAATGCCGGCCCTGACTCTCCAAGTACTCGGAGACAACTGACCAGCCGCTCATTCGTTAGCTAAGAACGCCCTTTACCGAATCCAGTCGGTGCGCGCAAGCTCCGAAGTACAGTCATGGCGGAAGAAAAAGAGTCCTATTACTTTCCGGACAAACCCTGTAACTTAGTACCGAATTTTCAGCAATAGGTTGCTACCGTTAAAAAGGAAAAAAAGCGTTGTAGTTTTGAAAATTGTTCCAATAGCGGTGGAGTGATAAAACTTCGTTTTTTGACATTCCAGGGACTTCTGTTCATTTCTGGAAAATTTTTCGCGCAGCAACATATCGGAGGTGTTGGTTAGTAAGAGGAGAGGCGCTGATATCTCAATTTTTTTGCAATTGCACACATACAAGCACTCACTAGACGTATGCCACACGTAGATTTTCATAAGTAATACCATAACGGCATCTAATTTTTCAGAAAAAAATCGAAAAAATGCATAGCTAAGTAACATTTTATTTTATTTTAAAGCATAAGTGCTGGTGGAAACAAAATCCGAGTCGAAGGCGATGATATGTGCACCTGCACGAACGTTTTTTGTTAAAAAAAGATTACTGTGCATTGTTTTTTCGATTTTTTTTACAGGAAAAAATTAGATGCCCGAATGGTATTTGTTTCATGAGTAACAGGTGTCCTAGGAGACCATAATTCCTTGTTATCAAAGGAACTGTAATTTTTTGGTGACAACAGCTGTCAAGTTTTGCCGCGGGTAAACTGGAAAAAACTGCTGACAGGTGCTGTCATACAATTTTTCCATCTAGAAACCATTTATAATTCAAAATTGCGCGTTCGTGATTGGTAGAAATTAGGACGAACGACATAATTACATACCCTTATTGTACCCTTAAATGATTCAGAGAAATGTTTTCAGCACACGTGCCGAACGCATGGACGGACGAAGAAAATAGTTTTGGTGGTCTACATGAATCGCTAAAAAAAGGGCTTGGGGGGGGGGGTTGCTCAGGAATCATGTTCAGGAAGATGTCGGGGGGATCTTATCGGTGATTGAAAACTGCACACGATTCAAAATTGTTCCATGCTTTCTGGAAACTCATCAGCCTGGCCTAGGCTTGGTCTCTGGCACATCCACTATACCGCCAGAATCGTCAGCTTCTAGCGGTCACAGCGGTGGCTCAGCTATCAAACGCGAACTGAGGCCTTTGCAGTGGTAGATTCTGGTAATAGATAGCTCCTTGCATTGTTTTATTTCGAATGATAATCGGTTTCTTAGCACCTAGGGTGTGTTTCAAGCCTTTCACTGTACCTGACACAGAGCTGTTAGATCAGTTCCTTGATATTAGGGTGACGGATATCACACTGAATAACTACAATAGAAACAGTATGGTGCCTTATGCTGAATGCTGCAAGTCCGAATTCGTTTGAGCAAATCAATGTAGAGTACCTGTAAGAGATCATTGACCAATGACAGAAAGTACAGGGTGGGTATTCCTAAAAAAACTTCCATGGTAAAAAGATGTTTTAATTTTTGTGGGACATACCATCTACTTAAGGGTGAGCCATCAGTTAGTTTTTTTTTAAGTTGGTATTGTTTTGACAGCTGGTAACGCTTCCATGCTCTTCTGTGCGGAGAACATTGCATAACGACCTGGGATTATTTCCTTGCAAGGTGCAACTTGTGCAAGAGTTGAAACAAAATGACCATCCGCATCGATATCGTTTCTCTGTGTGGGCTCTAAATCGATTGGAAACGGACGTTAATTTTGATTGCCAAATCATCTTTTCGGACGAAGCCCATTTCCAGCTGGGAGGTTACGTTAACAAGCAGAACTGTAGGATTTGGGGTTCTGAAAATCCACATGTTATAGAAAAACTAACGCATCCAAAAAGAGTAACTGGTGTGGCTTTTGGAGTGGTGGAATTATTGGTCCCTACTTTTTTCAAGATGAAGATCCCAACAGCGTGACGGTAAACGGGGGGAATGTTATAGAAACATGTTGAGGAGTTCTTTGTGGCCACTATTAGGATGGCGCAACATGAAACACCAGCCGTGAAACAATTGATCTTTTACACACTAAGTTCGGTCATCGCGTTATCAGCCGTTTTTTAGGCGTTCATTGGCCAGCGTGCAACTGTGATTTGATGCCCATTGATACTTCCTATGGGATACTGTTAAGGACAGCTATTACACTAACGTTCCTTAAACATGATATTCTTAAAGAAAATATACGCCGACCTACTGATGAAATAGACCCACAGACTGCCGAAAATGTGCTTCAAAATTGGGTCAAGAGGATGGACTACTGCCAGGCCAGCCAGGCATTTAACTGAAATTGTTTTTCATAAATAATAGGAAGGTGTATTCTTTTGAATAAAGTATCGAGTGTTACATATTATTGAAGAGTATAGTTTTAATACCAATTTAAAAATGAAACCAACGGATGGCCCACTCTTTATAAATCAGTAGCCCAGAGGTAAATAGTCGTAATTCGTAAAGACAATGTTACGACTAATGAGAAAAACAAGTTTGAATGATCGTATGACATTTTCATAATTACAAACATATCAATGACCAACAATCTGATGTTTAAGATGCTACAACGAAAGCCAAAAAACCAAAATAACATAATATAATGATGATATTAACTCAGAGTTGTATCAAACTGCGCTTACGGCTTTTTACCCCTGAGCTACAGGAATACATTTTTGAATATTATTGTGAGCTGGATAATGACCACAATGTAACTTTCCATAAACCTTTCTTCCAGCTATTATACCTATTTAAGAAATATTGCGATATCGTGTCTACGTCAATCTTTGTCCATTAGCGCCAATTTTCTCGCGTATAAAATATTCATTGGAAATTGTTCGCGGAAAAAATATCCAGCGAGGTCTACGATAATGCCGTGTGAAAGTACTTGCAATTGTGATTCATTGTGTTTGCTTTTTAATAAGACAGTAAATGACTTCTATGCATCAACATCTGCAGCGTAAAATAATTTATAATTGCAATCGATAGTTGCGGATTGAATGTGTCGTGAATGAAGTTCAGCGTCCGTCGGTACCAACACATTTATCATGATGCCGTTTTGAAAAACTTGAAGTTACGGTAGTGTTTATGGCAAAGACGCTATATGAAGTAGAGATCCATGCCGATACGTATACGAGGGATGTCTTTTAAGTTTTGCATATGGAAATAAAACAACACGGTAGGTAGTTTTAAATGACATTATCGTTTTTCGAAGTATTCTCCACGAAGATTAATACACATCTCCATGCGCTCGAACCACTTTCCGAAGCACTCGCTTGCTGGCAGATCCAAAACGGCATTTTTGAATGCGTCTACTGCTTCTTCTGGTGACTGGAACCTTTGACCACGCAGTCTGTTTTTAATTTTCGGGAAAGTAAAGAAATCGTTAGGACCTAGATCGGGACTATATGGAGGATGGTCCAATAATTCCACGTTTTCTTCCGTTAAATACAGCCTTGTATTTTGGGCTGTGTGCGAGCTTGCATTGTCTTTGTGGAGGATGATTCTTCTTTCGGGGTTGATTTTTCGAAACTCGGTGATGAGCTTTTGGCAAAAAATGGTGGTATACCAATCCGCAGTAACAGTTCTTTGCTCATTAAGAGGAATTGTTGCAATATGACCCGCTTTTGACACAAATGTCGCGACCATCTTTTTCGAAACACTTCGAGAAGGTTAAGATTCAGTACTGACGTTCGATCCGCGCGGCCTACTATGTTTCTATATGCAAAACTTAAGAGAAATTCCTCGTATCAAGTCTTGTAGTAATCTCCGGATTTTGGGATATAATGCTCATGGTGTTCAATGATGCACTTATTCATAAGATTTTCGACTTCGTCAAGGCTACAAAATGAGAAAAATCAATTTTGACCAAACACAAAAATGCCAAATAAAGTTATTTGTTAGAACAGGTCAAAATTACAAACAAACACTTGATACAAACTGAAAACAGGTCAAAAAAACAATAAATATGTATTTGTAGAAAGAATAAAAAATGTGCAGGAACAGCATTACTAAATGCATAGTGCTTATACGAGAACATAAATAAAAAAAAATTAATAAAATGTGAAATCAACGGGTGGATACAAATTAGTTCCTTGAAATACGTTTTTTGAAAACGGCTCCATGATAGGTGTTTCCCCGTATAAGCCATCTTGTAAATTGCTGAGAAGTGTTGCTGTCAACGTAAGTGCCAACGTGTTCACACCCGGTAGGCCGATAGTATCGCTGTATGTTCTTCTAAAATATCGGTTTCGGCAAAAATCCTATATCGGTCGATCTCTAATATGAAGGTTAAAACAGTTTTCATTTACATACTACTATGTTTCATTTGAGACTTTTGTTTTTTTTTGTTTGTACAAAAAGACTCAACGACTTCGCACTGGTGGTCCGAACAGATGGAGCTTCCATAATGGCTGGAGCCTAGCTGTTGAATCGATCGACCCTTGCGAAATGAAATATGCAGAATGTTGGGGTTTCACATGGCTTATGGTGAGAATAAGCAATTTTTTCTCATCATATATAAGCCTTAAGATCGTTAAGATAACAGAGGTATCACTCTTCGGAAAAATCTGTTATACCAAGTCTGGCCTTTTCTCCACGATGAGAAAGAACATGCTGGACGTCAGCCATGCAGGTAAACCGAATTGATTGATTATACGTACAAAGTGGATTAGAAAAAATTATGTTATTATGTAAGGTTACGGTGAGCTTCTTCAAGATGCTGTTGAGGCTTTGCGGGTGACTCCTCAGGTAGTTTTGAGTGGAAGGCCTAGAAAATCCCGGATGTTAAAACCCGAATTTTTAGATTCAATCTTCGACAGGTTCAAACATAAACAGCATGAGATAAACCTGGAATGTCTTATCAAATGAGCAATAAAACTTTTTCGCTATTGTCTCACCGCTTGTCAGCTTTGTCATTTCAAGAGTAGATATTCCTCAAAAGGAAAGTCGCATCTTCCAGAATACCCTTCGTCATTAACGCTTCGACAGAACAAACACCAGCGAGAAACGTTCAACTTCACACGCTTCTATTGGCCAATGAGCTATAAATACCTGCTCAGGCGGCGACATGCGAATACATTTTAGACACAAATATCCTAATACTCCGATTAGAGAATAGTACAACCTAGTTTTGAGATGTCCCTCGTATATATTATCACGATCTAGACGCACCCCAGGTGTCCGGATAAACTCAACTAGTCAAGTAGTATAAAATGGAATGCATGCATATATCATAACACTTTTCCGTTAATGTGGGAAGTCCTCAAAAACTGAAATTAATCCGCCATATACGGTTTCCGCTCTGACTCACGTGCTTCACCGTAAATCTTCCCAGTACAATGGCGTATCTATGGGGTACTGCTGCTATCAGGAATATAAATGGGTCCGCACGAAGAGGAAAAACTGAGAATTCAAAGGCAGGGGTATAGCTCAGCAGTCCATTAAAAATCTTAACCCTTTGCGTCCAGGTATATTTTTTCATCACGAAATCGATCTTTCGACGTTGTGGATATATTTGACCAGTACTGGCGAATATATAATTATAAAGAATGTTACCAATGCTATCAATGCTATCTTCAGCATATTCAAAATCAGTTAAAGCTGAATCCTATTCATTTTGGTCATTTATTTACCAAAAAAACAGAACCTCTAGAATCCCAACCAAGATGACTTATAATAATGAAACATTTAGTGATTCTAAAAGTGTAGTTAATGCTTTTGTTAGTTTTTTTGAGAGCACCCTCACTTCGGCTGACGATGCCAAAGAGAACCTAACATTCAGTCCTGATCTCATTGATACATTGGATGTGAGTGTCGAGTCAATAACGGAGGAAGAAATATTGAAGGCAAGACATCAACTTTTCCTGAAGTGTGGAAGATTGCCAAGGTATGCTCTATACCCAAGTCGCAACAGTTAAATGTTATAAGCAACTACAGACCAATTTCTATTCTCTGCAAATTTTGTACGTTCTGGATCAAGTATTAGTAACCTTGCAATCTGCGACCAATATTTGTGCGAAACAATAGATCAGTGTTCTGCTCCACAAACTTTTTTCTTTAGGCCTTCATAGTTCTTTCTTAAATGTTCTAAAATCTTATCTGCATCAGAGACGGCAATATGTTCACATTAATTCAACCACATCTGGTTACTATGTTTCTACTAGTGGAGTACAACAGGGGTCCAATTTGGGACCTCTATTATTTTTGTTATATAATAATAATAATAATAATAATAATAATAATAATAATAATAATAATAATAATAATAATAATAATAATAATAATAATAATAAATCTTCTTTATTTATAAAGTTACATAGTATCGAGCGAAGTTTAGCTAAATAGCTACTCTTCCTCTTAACCCTATTATTTTCGTGGTTGTGAACCAATGTAAATACATGTAACTAACATGTATATATACAGTGGCTAACCAAAGGAAAACAAAAATATTGCAAGAAATAATTACTAAATCAAACGAACTTACCTGTAATGAAGTTCGATTGTAATTATATGAAGTCCTCGTGAAGTAAATAAGAACAAACGTAGTCTCTCTATTCCACACCGTACATCACGAATTTTTAAAGTAAACAAACCGCCCCGTCCGCTACCCCGCTACCCGGCCACGTCGGTGGTACCGTCGTGTGCATGTCTCATTATTCAAAGATCTGTCTGCAGTTGATGCAATTAATAATAGGGAAAAATAAAACGGGGAGGGAGGGACTTATTTACTTCACGAGGACTTCATATAATTACAATCGAACTTCATTACAGGTAAGTTCGTTTGATTTAGTAATTATATTTCGTCCTCGTTCCGTAAATAAGAACAAACGTAGATGTTTAAAGCAAATAATTGTGCAACTGCAGACGAAACAAAAAATTTTAGGCTCTATAAGAGGAAAATAAGAAGTTCCAAAATCTTATTTTAACGAATATAGTTCGAATAAGAAACACATTCGAAATACTGGTATGAATTCAACAGCGGAAGAACAACATTAACATTATATAATAGTAAACATAAAACATAACATTATAACATCAAACAACATTAAACTAGGGAATAACCCTAAGGTATTTAAGAAAACAGAGTAACTAGTTAAATATTTAGCTAGTTCCTAAACTCAGAAATAGTTTACAACACTGGCATAATTTATCATAAGGAATAACTAAGGAATACTATTGTTAAGTGAAAATAATAATTAGTTATGTAGCTGGTTGATCTAATATGACCCTCGCATAAGCATAAGAATCACAAACCGGTCTCTTATAGAAGTTTGCAAATGTTTTTGAATGTCCGGTCCAACCAGCAGCTGACCTAATTATATCTATTGATACACCTCTACGATCCGCTAAGGAAGTAGATGCATGTCTTGTTGAATGAGATGCAAATTTAGAGGTATCAATACCAGCTTTAATTAAAACATTTCGAATCCAACGTGAAAGTGTTTGTGATGAGGCATTATGGTACGGTCTTTTAAAGGTGATTAAGAGCCTGTTACATACAGCATTTCTTACATCCTTCGTTTTTTCTATATAAAATAGGAGAGTGCTGGCGACACAAATATTTTCATCGCTTCTGAAAAAGGGTAAAGAAATAACAGGCTGGGCTTTACCTGGCCCAGAGGTTTTTATACGATCGCGAATAAATATCTGAACGCCTTGGGATGAAGATTTTATGTCATCAAGTTGAATAAGAGAAAGCCTTTGAACTCTTTGAGCTGAGGTAAGAGCTAACAATGTTGCTAATTTATATGATATTTGCTCTAGTGTGCAATCTCCATTAGTTAGTGTTCGCAAATAATCTAAGACAAGTGATGGATCCCAGATATTTTGATACTTCGGCAAACTAGGTCTCAAATGAAATACACCTTTAAAAAACCGTTTTACGCGAAAATCTTGTGCTAATGAGGGGCCTAAAACCTGGGCTAAAGCGGATCGATGGGAATTGAGTGTACCATATGACGCTCCCTTATTATATTCTTCCTGCAAAAACTCGAGGACAGTCGCAATTGAAGCAGTGAAGCAACTCTCATTTCTGGATTTACAGAATTGATACCATCGCTTTAAACCGGAATCATATTGTTTAACAGTAGATTCTGTAATTGAAGCAAGGCAGACCTCAAATGCAGACTTCGGCGTTCCTCTTAATTCTAAACCCTGCCGGATAAGAGACCTGCAACCAGGATAAGTTGTGGCCATAAGGGATGTGTCTGAGATCTGTCAAAACATAAAAGGACATCTTTACTAGCCGGAAAATAAATTGGTGGCTTTTTAAGAAGAGATGTAAAAATGGGGTACCAAGGCTGTGTAGGCCAATGCGGCACAACTACTATACCTTGGGCCCTGTCTCTAATGATTTTATGCACAACTTTAAGTATTATTGAAAAAGGGGGGAAGGCATAAAAATGATAAGTACCCCAATTGACAGTAAAAGCGTCCACTTTGAATGCAAGAGGATCAGGATGCCACGAAATAAAAATTGGACATTTAGAGTTAATGCGACTAGCGAAAAGATCTATTTCTGGGATTCCAAATCTTGAAACAATTTCTCTGAAATATTTGTCGTTCAACTCCCATTCCGTCTCAGGATGTAACCTACGTGATTTTATGTCTGCAATTATGTTATCCTTACTGTTAATGTAAGACGCATATATAAATAAATTTTTGCTTTCACA